ATAAATCATAATTACATTATAAACTAAAAAAAATCAAATCAAATCAAGTCAAATTGTTACTTAAAGATGGACTAGTTAAAAGAACTCAAATAGATAATATAAGACTAAATAAGTTTATTTATGATAGAACTATATATTTAAAATCCATAAAAAAATAAAAAATAAAAAATAAAAAATTAAGAGGCTTATAGAATATACCAATATTAATGTTTAAACTCAATATTTCATTAAATAAAAAATATAATAAAAAAAGGATTAATAAATATAATCAAAATAATCAAAATACTTGTTAAAAATACAAAGACATAAACCAATATATTTTATACATGTATAAAATTTAAAAGTGATAAAATAATAAATATATATATATATATATATATATATATAATTTATAAATATTTTAAAAATAAATAATTGTAACTTTATTATAAGCAAATAATCCAATATATTTTTCTTTTTTGGTGAATAGAATAAATTTTTTAGTTCAAAAAATCTTTAGTTTTAAAACTTAAGAAATAACATCTTATAATTATATTTCCTAATATATTATTTAGTATTTTCTAAAATATTTTAAATAATATTAAACTATTTTTTAAGTTTTAAATATATTTTTTGAGATGAAATCCAATTTTATGTTTTATAGATTTATTTTTAGCTTTACATATGAAATTTAATATTTAATCAAAATCCACTTGATTCAAGACTAAGGACAAATCTTTAGGTCTGTATGAAATTTTATAGTGGCACTATATTTTTTGATTTTTAATTTTAATTTTTAAATATATTATGATATCTTTTCTGATACTAACATTAAATACTTTTTATAGATTATATTATGAAAAAAATAGAGAGAGATGTCAAAAATCAATTTATGATAAAATAAAATAAAATAATAAATATCTATTTTAGAAACCATGTTGATTTTTAAAAAAATATTGATTCATAAATTATAACCTAATTCTAATTTGGTAGCAAGATTTATAATAATAATAATAATAATATTATTATTATTATTATTACTTATATTATAGATTACAAAATAATAAATTAGTTACAAAATCAAATATTCATAATAGGATTTAATACATATATATACCCCAAATTTTATTAGAATTTTCTTAAGTAAAGATGTATATGTGTATATATATATATATATATATAGATAGGGAGTAAATAAAGCCACATCCCAATATTGTTAAAGCCATACCCTCCCTTGTTGTCTCATCATTAATTCCGTCCATCTCCCATCTCTATTCTTTCTTTCCAATCCTTTGTTCCCATTTCCGTTCCTCAATCCTCTATTTTCCAATCTCCTATTTGTCTCCCCCATTTCCAAGTCCTCCATTCTTTAGTCTTTTGTTCTCTAAACCCCTGCCTTGTTTTCATAGTCTCCTATTTCCTAATCCCCATTTCCAACTCTAACACTACTATTATGTAAATATAAAACTTCTAAAATGGTTTATTGAAGATTGGTAGCACATTTTTAAAGACATGTATTTTTTTGTTAATATAATTTTAAAAGACTAACAATAATTTGTTTCTAAATGTTAGATATGTCATACATTTTATTATAAAAAAATATATATTAATTGATGTTATAATTGATACAAATAATTTTATAAAAATATTACACATATACATGATATTCAAAGTTGTACATAGATTTTTTAACACTAAAAATTTACTTATATATATATATATATATATATATACATACATACATTTAAAACTTTTGACATTGTTTAAATGATTAAAATGTTCTTTTCTTAAATATATATTTTTTAAATTAAAAATCACAAACCTATAATTATAAATGATTTAAAAATTATTAAAATATTTTAGCCATAATTAAAATATATAAGTATCCAAAAATTCAATGTAATACTCATTATAATTTTGGCTTGTCAACATTTCTGATTGGAAATTTAAAAAATATGTTAAGTGGTTTTGTGAGACTTGTAAATAATGCTTTTCAGATTATGATATTATTTAAATTTTGAATAAAATTGAATAAACACGACTTTCAAAATAATACGTAAAATTATAAAAGGGTTCAAAATTAAATATTTGTAAATTTCTTCTTCTCATACCAAACATTTCACAAGAATATCTTTAAAATAAAAAATAAAATTTATTAACTTTTGTACATTCCAAATTTTATATTTAAATTCAAACTTATAAGAAATTGGTTGTGGTATAATTAAATGTTAAATTATTTTATTCAAATAATTGTATGTGCCTGACTCACGAACAGGGACAAGAAACAGGGATTAGGGGATGGGGGCAGAGAATTAACTGTAAAATAATTACGTTTTAATTTATTTTAATTTAAATTCACTTTTATCAACTTAATTCAATAAAAAGAAATTAAATTACAGTTATTATATATGATTTTTTTTTTTTTTTCAATAGTCACATCAGTGTTAATACAGCTACATCTATACATAAGATAAAAAATACAAATCTATTTTTGACCATGTACATTGTAATATTTCAGAATAACTTAATCATTATAAAATGGCACACTTAATGCTTTGCGGACCAGTTTTGGACAACACAATGTCATTTGTGCCCAAAAGCTATATGCACAATAGATTATATATAATTAAATTTCATCTTATTATCTTTCTAATGGCTTCTAAATTTTACTTCTATAATACTATTTATTATATAATAACTAAATAATGAAATGCACATTAACATATTAATTGCAGTAGCCTTTTGTTGAACTTATATCAATATGAATTTGGCAATATAAGTGTACGTTATTGTAAATACATTAAGAATTAGGCTCAAGTATACTAAAAATATCCATTTTAAATTTTAATATTTAATTTCTTTTATGTCTTGCATTGTGTTTTTTTTATTTTTTTGTAAGTATAATAAATATATGTTTTTAAAAAATTACAAATGTATGTTTTAAAATAAAATTAATGGACTAAATATAATTTTTTTACAATTCAAATTTTAATGATTCACAATACATATTTCTTAGTTAAATAATGCAAATAAAATAAATAAAATAAATGAAAAAGAGAAAGAAAGAAAGAAAAAGCCAAATCACATTTTTAAAATGCACTAAATAAAATACAATCATGTTTTGCTTTTGACATTTTAATATGTATGGTCCTCAAAAATAAATAAACAACTCTATGTGGAACAAAGTGTCTATACTAAATAAATACATAAAAAAATAAATAAACTTAATAATTCTCCTCCACATGCAATTTCCATTTCACCAATGACAAGCCAATAATTCATGACAACTTTGAAAGACTCCAATTACAATTGTGTTTGAATTGAGACATGTGACAAAAAAATATAAACATAAATAGTTGTCTCATGATAAAGCATGATTGATTTTGAAATCACTATACAAGCGTGTATAGCAACAGTTACCCCCTTTTTTGTTGTATTATATACTAACATGGTGAGTTAATCAAGCTCATAGAGAGAGGATTAGATGATGATCCCAATAACAACAAATAGGATGCTGCTCAACTCAACACACGAGGCTACACAACAACAATAACAACAACACAAATCCCTCCTCTTTGAGAGAGAGAGAGAGTTGAAAATTTGAATTCGCGCATAAGGCGGCATTGTCCTTGGAAACCACGCCGCATTCCATGGATTGCAAAAGACAGCTATGAAGCTACTACTACTACGCCGAGGGCATTGGAACTACTCCGGCGAGTCTCTTTGTGTGTGTGTGTGTGGGTGTTTATTTTATTTGAATGCGGTGATGAGTGGGTGAATAAACAACGATCGATGACCCTCATAACATGAAAGCTGGGCCAAGCTTTCTTTCTTTCATGGTTCGAAATCAACGTCCGGAATCTACACCGAGTGAGGACATTTCCATACAAGGCAGACAGAGGCGCAGACAGACAGACAGATAGATAAGAGGGAAAAGCCAAGAATAAAAGAATACAACGAGGCAAAGGAAAGGAGAGAGGAAACTTTAAACACAAGCTGTGTGTAGAGAAAGAGAGGGTGCAGCAGCAGCAGGACTCGCAGAGCCAGTTACGATCCGTCTTGTCTACATTGACGGATCGACTGAGTGTCAGACCCATCGCAGAGTAAAAGCATGAGGATGCGTACGAGCGCAGCAGAAGCTCCAGCTCGAACGGGGAGGACAGACGGCGACAGAGCTTGGTTGTAATGCGAGCGAGCGAGCGAGAGAGGACAAATGGTGTTCTGTCCGCTGGATGGGGGGAGAGGGAGGGGGGGCACTCAGAACCCACCAGCGAATGCGAGCTGGTCGTGACAGAAATGCCAGCTAGGAAAACAAGGGGATCATTGTTGCAGAGAGGGATGCACCTGGGACGGTGAGCTGTGGCATGTGACTGGGACGCGGACACAGCTAGGCTTGGTGCTTTTCCGCAGACTGGCACGCTAACGGCAACAATCACATATGATGGTGTCAGACATGTGTAAGGGTGCGGGGTGTCAGACGTGGCCGCGGGGGCGGAGGTGGTGGTGGTGCACGCCTCAGGGATCGGAACAGCACTGCTCCCTCTCTCTCTCTCTCCACATTGACTGCGCTTGGATTTGCGGGTCGTGAGGCGGGTAGAGATGTGGTTGTTGTAAAGCGGCTCACGAGCTAAGAAAATATGCCCACATAGGACAGTAAGATTTTGATAGTGAAGATAACTCTCTTGCTACATACTTTTACTGGGCGTCGTTTTCAAGGTGTTCATCTCTGCCAAGAAAGCGTTACAGGCATGCATGACTACTGGTTTCACAGTTCCAGCATGCTGTTACCAGACAGACGTTTACAGGTAGCTAGACACAGACGCAACGGTCATATGTTGCACTAACGATGTAGTAGATTTTTCAAAATGTACATGTCATGGACTGCCAGCAGTCGAAACTGATTCATGTGACATTAAGAAATGTCTGGGGCAATCACATTCCCGATCGGTTTTCGTGCACAGCTAATGAACACTTCACATCATGCAAGGTTAAGGAGAGTGCCGAGAGGGCTGAGGCTAATGTATTTAAAGATGAAATCTCATCGTTTTATTCGGCAAGCCCACAAACAGCGACCAGAGAGTACCCATGGACATGTTTGTCACGTAATATAAATGAAATCTTCTCTATCAATGGTCATCCTTCACAGGAACAAAGCCACAGGAATTCAATGGCCGTGAAGACACACCTCTTGTTCAAATGCTACCCTACGTTTTATCACAAATTTTACACATTGGCTTGAATGTTACGAGAAAAATGCTTCCTGTGCAACGGCGACCTTCAAACGTACTGCAGCTACACCGCTCCATTAACAACAAGCCCAAAAATCCTGCCACTAATAGGACATCTTGAAAAACTCCGCCAAGACGCTCCACACCGTCCCGTAATGGAAAGCTCAACTACATCGCACGAAGGGCCCGATCGCGTCCCACGGCGCATTCCACAAGCTTAGCCAGTTGTCCTCCAATACAGTCCAACATCCCATCCTCCCAAAACCCACATGCTAGGCACGTCCTGCACCCAAACTCTCTTCAAAAAATGTGCGCAGCAAGGAACGCCAAGAGACCAGCGGCGACGGGAGCTACAACGGCAGGCACCATGGCCGCGACGTCATTTGAGGGAGGAGGCGCAGGGGCCGCGGCTTGAGCATTCACACTCACGGCAGCAGAGCAGCCGACGATGACAGCCACAAGGGCGAAGTTCTTCACTGATCTCATCACAGAGGCCATTACTGCTAGTTCCAAAAACGGTCGAGCACAAACAAAAAGGAAACGATACGTAGAATGCTGCTGCCACTGCTCACACCGTAATCTCCGACAAAAATGAACGCGTTTAGAAGCAATGCGAGGCGAGAGGGAGGGCAAGAGGCAGGCGGACAAACAGGCGAAGAAGCAGAAGGAGCCGAAGACGAAGAAATGATAACCGGAAGGTTGGGCCAGGGGACTATAAAGGGAGCCGGGTGAACCAAAGAGCGCGGGGTCGGGGGAGCCTTTTAGGGGGGTGCGCCACGAACGAAGAAAGAGGGGAAGCCGTGTGAAGCGGGGCCCGGCGTGTGGAGCGGGGCCGGGGGCCGTGGGGGAGAGTGAGTCTCCAGAACAGCAACTTCGTTCTCTAATAAACCGCCATTACTCACGATTGGTAAATCCTTCCTCCCCGGGTCCCACCCCCCCTCCCCCGGCCCCTTCTCCCGCGATTCCCTTACCTGTCAGCCCTGTTACGCGGCAGTCATTCCGCTCCCGAGTCGGGCTCATGGGTTATTTTCCGATCTGGGTTTGGTTCTTGGTCCGGGACTGGGCTCGGATTTACCTTTATTTTCATCCCAGTAAATATGGACTGGGGGATAAACTATTGGAGTAGATTTGGGTACAGGGCTGGTCGGGTTGTGCATGGCATTGTTTGGTGACTCCTTTTCTGGAAATAAAGTAACTTTTGGTGATTTTTCTTTAAAGTGCTTCTGCAATGCTCTATACGTATTTATTGTTTACTTTTTGGGAAAGTAAGGAAAAGATACTTTTACTGCTGTGTTTGCACGTGAGGTTGGAAATTGGGTATTAACACAAAAAAGTTGTAGGAAGAAAAAAAAATGTTTTTTAAAATGGTGTGAAAGCACTGTTTGACTTGATGGAGCATATCTTTGTTTGTCACTTGGTTTATTTTTTTATTTTTTAAAATTATTTTTGCATTTTGGATACATCGTGTGTATTTGTTCAATTGAAGTGTGCTAAGAATTTTTATGGGGTACATGTTTCCAACTATCCACTTGATACTCCACATTTGTTTGATTGTATTTTTTAATTTATTCCGTCTTTACACATAATTTCAAAAAAATACATTAGGAACAAATTTGTTGGTTGATATCAAAAGTATTGTTAACAGTTTAAATATACATTTTTACACATATGTAGTACCCATAAAGAGTGGTTTTTGATGTGATGTTCATACACAATTCCTCAATTGGGAATGTTTTCCACCAAACTCAATTTCAATGTTGAAAATGTGTCATTGACATTACTGTTGACTCTCAGTATTAGGAAACTTATGGTAGAATACAGAAAACATCAATAAACAACACTAACGATAATTCTTGGATTAAAATTTCAAACCCTCTGAATAAAATTCTTTAATATTTGTCAAATGATTAAAACAAAATATTGAGTTGGTATACAAACTCAACAAAGTAATCACAAAATAAATAAATAAATAATAAACATATATATATATATATATATAGAGAGAGAGAGAGAGAGAGAAATGCATGGAATGGGATCCTTGTAGAAGTGTTTTTTTGGGTGCAGTTAACAAGAGTTTTAAATGCAAAATGCCAAACAATAATATCGTTGTAGGGTTTCCAGCGCTACTTACCATATGTGGAGTAGCATGATATCTTGGCCATGTTCAGGTGCTGAGTTGGCATGCTGACGTATTCATTTGATACAAGATGACGTGGCAGCATACACATGCTGATGTGTCAGCAGCCCATGTGGTCTTTTAAGGGGGTTGAAGAATAAGACTTGTTCTAGTTCAAATGCCACTCTCTCTCTTGTTTGAAAAACTGTTTTAAATATTTTACTTTTATTTATTTTTTGATTTATTTTTTAATTTTAATTATTTAAACTATACTTTTATTTGTTTTATTTTATTTTCTTCCTTTCAAACTAGTCAGATTTTTTTCCTGATTTTTTGTAGCCTTACTTTTCTACCTCCAATGTAGGCTAGCCAAAAGCATCTAGAAAGATTTGCAACTTTACATTCTATATTGTTTAGGAGTTTGCTTATTTATTTATTTATTTATTTTTCTTCAAAATAACTAGAGTTGACCATGTTGTGCTATGAGTAAAACATTCAAAGTTTTCATATGTATGTATATATGTATGTATGTATATATATACAAACATGCATTCTTGGTCACTGTAAGATCTAACAAGCATTTGATACTTGATTTTTTTTCTTTAAATAATTATTGAACTAAATTAAAAAAATTATGCTGGATATTTTTCTTTTAACAATACTTAAAAAGGAGATAAATAAATTTGTATTTGTATCATTTCAAAAATTATACTATATTTGATGACAATCACTTAGAACTAACTTAGTATGTTTTGATTTTTTTATTCCTATCAATTTCTAGTGTGATAGCTAAATAATAATAAAACAATAAATATTAGCTATTTTAAGTGGCTAAGAAAAAATAAATTATAAATTTGAGTTGTTTGGATATATTTTAATTATCCAAATCTAGGTTTATGTTATTATGGAATGTATCATCCAATTACATTTATATAAGATGTTAAAGCTATTCTATAGCTAACAACTCCTTTGGTACACTTTTTGTCTTTGAAATCTAAAATCATTATTAGTTTTTATTATTTAAAAAAAAAAAAACCAAATAACTTGGCTAATTTGTAAAATATGTCAATGGAGCAATGTATTTTTGCTAGACACACATTATGTAAATAAATAAATGAAATATTGTAATCAAACTCTATCAATGACAAGAAATTCATCAAATGACCTTATTAATAGTTGCTACTATAATTTTATATATTTTGTTCCAAGATTAGGTTGACATTTTTGGTTTGACTATTAATTTATAAATAATACTTTATAAAAAGTTGATCTTGATGTTGAAGATCTAATATAATTTTCTACAAAATTTAGACGCAAATTTCAATCACTAATCCAATTTAAAATTTCATATGATATTTATAAACTGTAATAGAATTTTTTTCTTCTAATTTTTAAATATTTTTTTATTAAAAGGAAGTGTTATTTTGTATAAAACAATCTATTAGATGAAATAATCTAAAATTACCAAAATTGATTTTTTTTTCTGAATAATATAAAATCTATGATAAAATTTATTTATAAAAAAACTTTTGGAATTTTAAAAATAAATAGGAGTTTAAAGAAACTATGTTGTTGATGTCTTAAAACTTTAGTTTTTAGTGTATTATAAGATTGCATAATTTCTTTACAAACCTCTTAATTTTTAGACATTAATATGTTTTGGATGTCAATATTATAGTTAAATTAAAACCAAGTTGTAACTTAATAAAAATAATGTAATATAATTTGAATATTAAAAAGGTGCAATTTTTTTAAAAGATACAAACAATAATTCTTTAAAGTCCTAAATTAAAGCCCTCTATTCTTTATTGAAATCAATTTAATTATTTACTGTCTTTCCAGAATTATTAATTAGTTTGTAATTTTATTTAATCTTTGAAAAAAAAACCTTATAAAATGTTTTAAAATTTTAAAAACATGGTATGTACTTAATTGATTAAAATTTATTTTACTTCTAATTAATAAAATATTATTTATACAAATAATTATTATGTAGCTTGATTCATTATAATTTATATTTTAAATATAGAATTGGTATTAATATTAATTTAAAAAAATCCTTATTTTTGTTGTTCTTCTAATACTAAACATATTTAACAATTGTAATCTACTTTTGTGGAATAAATTAAGACATCATCCAAATAGAATAGAAAATATTATTTTAAGCATTTAAAAAAAATATTGTTATACATTTAAAGAATGAAAGTCTATTTTCAAGTTAATAAAACATAGTATTACATCCAAAGTATCCATATCTTGCACAATTTATACGTTTGTAGTAATATCCTTTAATACCAGGAAGATTATGAGTATCTCTTGATTAAAAAAATTTAAAGAAGTTTATTTTCTAAATTTCTTTAGCAAATTTTAAGATACTAGTAACACTTTAAGATGCAATAACATCATTCAAGATGCAAGAAAAATCCACTTCTTTTAAGAAAAAGTAAAACTTCCTATTAATATATCTAGTCACATTAAATCATTAGATAAAATATCTTATACAAATTAATAACTTCAATAAGTATGGCTTAATAGGTAGAAATAGCTTCAACAAACAAATAGCTTCCATAAATCTGGCTGCAAACAAGTTAGCATTTCTTTCTTTGTTTCCCACAAACATGGATGCCATGGAGACTTCATTTTCAAGCTCAATGGAAAGGGGACCTCTCAACACTACCAAAGCCTCAATTGCAACAGCAAGATTCGAATAGAAGACGACAAATCGAAATCGCACATTAGGAGCTGAAGAGCTCCATCCCCTATTTATAAAATACTGATCCTCACACAAAAGCAGATCAACCAAGTCAAAGCATGAAATTTGTCATGTGTAGTAGCTAGTGTGGTTTGTAAAATCAGTGAAGAATTGGTATTCCTAAGCGTTCTCATCACGCTGGTGTTCCAGCATTCAGGCATGGACACTCGCTCCTTGTAAATAACTCGCAAGCTGATTCTGTTGTTCCATGAGCAAGTTTGGGCAAGTTCACCTCTGCTCATGCCAGAAGACTGCTCGCATAATTCATGTAATCCTGCAACAAGAATTCAAAGCAGCCTGATTCAGTAAGAAATCAAAGCAGCCGGATTCAGTAAGAGAAGTCCACGCTGAAGAAAACCATGATTGATAAATGATGCGGGGGAATACCTGTTGAAGACTTCTAGAAGGATGTTTACCGTGCTGCGTATTTTTCAACATGTAACCACTTTGTAGCAGACCATTTCGTACCTTGAATCACAGGGCAAGCGCCTGTCGAACAAAAGCCCATCCCACGAATTTAAGAAACACCCCCAAAAAAGTTCGATTGTCACATACGAAGCAGATTCTTGCAAAACAAGACTCAAAATTCCATGTAATGACGTAATTCTCTTGAAGAAATTTGCAATGAAGATTGTGGAATATCGTGTAACAGGATACATGAAAGATAAAAACATGGTACGTCATCAGTGGTATCCGATAATCTGGTGGAAGAGTACATAATGTAGACTGGTTTTACGACAACTAAATCTGTTACCAAAATCATACCATGCAAACTGGTAGGGTCAAGCTTCGCATCTGGTTTCATGCTCCAAAAAAGTAAGGCATCTCCCATACGTGGTCGTACAGAAAGGCCCCGTTTAGCGCATTCGGATCGCTGATCCCAATCAGGAACCTCACTAGCGTTCACTTTAGAAGCCGGGAAAACTGTTTCTCCCCCTTTCTCAACGTCTGACCTGTTCCTCACCGTAAAAATGCCAATCACCAACCTAAGCAGTATGGTTGCAGACACAGACTTTTTGAGCTGTATCCGTACCTGGACTTGAACCAGGTCTAAACTAACATTATGGCTAGCAAAAAGCTAGTCATTACATTTTCTTTAATGTGGATTCTGGAGAACGAAATAGTGCACGTAGTGGATTAACAGGCCGAGTACGGAGGCAGAAGGGGGATACTTACAGATACATCAGTACGGTAGCAATCCGCTGACCACCATTTTTAGTATTGAAAGCATCGTGAAAGTAGTCATAATGAGGCTCGTATTTCTCACTCTCTCTATACTGCAAAACTTGCAAGCCTTCACCTTGTTCTACACGCACGAACCATCATGCCTTAAGCATAATAATGAAAAAGATGACATCGAAGTACCACCCTTTTGAACAGATACTAAGCTCAATCAACCCATGTCAAGTGCAAATGACATGCCATTGGTGTTCAATGCTTCCCAACTGTCAGCATGGTGAACTGCCGAAACCAATTAGTCATGCAAGAGATACAGGAACATAAATAATAGTCGTGAATCCTAATGACTGGACAAAGAACCAAAGTATACTGGCAAGAATATCATTTATATGAAACAAGGAACATAACCAAGGATGTATCACATACCAACAGGTATGAATGTGAAGTCAGCGATACGTTTCTCAATCCTCTTAATGATGTGATCTTGGCCCCGCACCAAAAATGTCCCTGAACTTGTGCGAACCCTGTGATACACACACTTGTCATCAACGGCTACGAAAATCCAGATGATAGATACTCTCGTCAAATGCAGAAAATAAAAACACAAACCCCAAGGCCCAAACTTGGAATAATACCACACCAGCAAATTGAATATATCAACCTTCGGTAAACTAGGTGATGAGGAAAGAAGAGCTAAATCGGCACGCACCTGCTGTCTTTGCTTTTTCCCGTAGCACTATCTATAACTGTTGACTTCACCAGGCTAGGCTTGGCCACCTCAATAAGATGGTTGCATTCCACTTGTGTCTGTTCCCAATGCAAACGATCTCAACATAGATACTTTTCCACACATTTTGTATATCTCTTTAAGTGGTACTCATGCCTATGTACAGGTAGCCGACACTAGTGACCAAGTCTATCATATTGTGTTTTCGGAGCTCCGCTTGTAGGAAACCGTATACAATCACCAAAAAGCATGATTGCACGCATATAAAAAATACCGAATATTTGCAGACTTAAATCTGCAAATATTTATCAATCTTGGTGCACTATGTACGTAACAAAATAATGTTTATCCCGCAAGAAAGGGTTAAAACCATAATACAAACAAAACAGAACATGATTGCCACCACCAGTATTCATCCTCAATAACAACCCAACACCGCTGCAGCGACGCAAACACTAATATGTAAAATGTCTTACCAGAAAGTGGTGATACAGAAAAGCTCTGGGCTCCCAGGAAAGGACCTCAACCCAAGGTGCCAGTGGATTTTCATCCACATGCCTGCGATCAGAAAAAATATTATCATTCAAATGTAAGAACCCAGCACATGGAATTTGAAATGTACTTTCTGAATTAAAACCTTTGTTAAAAACACGATAATGGGTGTAAATCAATTTAATGAAGGTGACCATAGTATGTGTGCTAACTGAAATTACAATTGAAAGTTCGTTTTGTACATGATTGGCCATCTACTGCAGAGATGGTGTAATATTTATCAGATCCATTGCACTTGGCAGGGATAACCATTTCGATTGCTGTAGCGACACCTATCAAAGTCAGATAAAAAATTCACAAAACACTCAAGCACCCATGTCCCAAAAGCCTAGAAACTACAATTTTTGTAAAAGTTGTAAAAACTTCAATTTGTGAAAATTCGTGGCAAAATCAGATTCTAAATTCCAAGTGATTCCATATGTCCTCGTATGCAACTGTAAGCGAGATTTGCATCAAAGCTCTTGCGCGCCAGAACACAATGGCTCTATTGGGATTTCGAAATAGAGAGGTTGCAACAAGCTCCGATCAAAGCACCGAAGAGTGAAACCTTACAATGGACCAGGACACAGTTTGGGATTAGCACGATTAAGGTGTTTGGTTGTTTGTTTTTGTTTTTTTCTTTTGGGGGGGAGGGGATAGCAGCAATTTACGTTCAGGTCACTATTCATTCAAGACACTTGGAAGCTTCAGATCGTGTTACGGTACCACCGACATTGCGAAAAACCAGGTAAGTCTCCAACTACGTGAGGGGTCGAGTGAAGGGGACAAAGAATACTACAAAGATTTGCCAACGCAGGCGAGCACCTCTCAACTTTAAATGATATCCTCAACTCTACAGCTAATGCTGCATCTGATTCAGAATGTACTCAACTCTCTCCCTCAACTCTCTCCTAATCGAACTCCAGAATTAACCACACTTCAAATTTACGGTGACCACAAACCATCGCATTGGCGACGAAATTCTCCAAAACTTCTCCAAGTGTGAATACCCACAACCATAGAATCTGCAACCGGAATTGACTTCGGGTCCTCGTTAATTTTTTAAGATGAACTTTACCCACCTGTGGGTAGGCAGCTTCAATTCCACTTCGGCTCCCTCGTCAATCGAGCCTCGACGTCCCGATGGCATTGCTACCACGTCCAGAAGCAACATGACCATGACTATCAAAGACAAAAACGCGAACACCAGCAATGCCATCGTGCCAACTCCAGTCCTTTGCCCCCTACTCAACCTCGCCATAGCTGCCACAGCCCTTGCCCCCGCCCTCTCCTCTGTTCCCCCCTCACACAAACACCAACCCACCAAAAACTACCGCCTACGTGTTTAATAGTACGTCTCAATTACGCTGCAAAACTACCACCACACGTCAAACGCAGATGGGAAAAAACAAAAAAAAAAAAAAAAAAAAAAAAAAAACCCTGCGAAACCTCCAAACGCAACCTCGAGAGCAAAATCCAAAATGGCCTCTACTCTCATCCCCCGGCTACGATGACACAAACAGACAACGTAGCTGAACAAATTCAGTAAAGCGCGATCACGCGACAACTATAAAAGGAAAATCTGCCCCACGCCGCAAGGGGAACGACCACCACAGCACCCACCAACACGGAAGAGCTCTCTCCGAGAAAGGGATATGAACAGCGGCAGATCTACTCACACTGGAGGGGAGAGGCAATGCACACAAGCCAAGGCAAGGCAAGGCACAGCCTCGCTGGGGTTTCACACTGTCGGTAGAAGCGCCGATGTCACTCACATCCATCCCACCCATGGGCACTAATAATAAATTACCAGCTGAGCTGTGCCCCTCTGCCGAGTCGACGGTGAAGAGCAAGAGCAGCTGCAACGGCAACTTCGTGTTGATGATCAGCGAGCAACAACATCGACAACAACAGCATAATCTTCGTCATCTATCATCATGGGAGGAGGAGGAGCATCGATCTGGCCTACTCCAACTCCAACTGCTGCTCTTTTTCGTCTTCTTCTGCTCATGGCTTTGGTTTGGTTTGCTCTGCTTTGCATTGTAGACCTGGTTTTGTCCATTCCACTGCCGCTTGGAGGTCACCATTTTCAATGCGCCAAACTACAGCCCCCTTCTTCACACACACGGGTGGTGTCACCTTTGCATCATCCCCCTTATCCCCACTTTGGTCTCCTCCTCCTCCTTCTCCTCTTTGTTTAGTTTTTGTTTCTCTGTTTTTGTGGCAATGTGAGGTAACATCCTTTTTCTTGTGGTAGATTCCACTGGGCAGGGTTATGATATTGTAGCTAGGATTCAAACTTCTTACCCTTTGCATATGTTGGATGGGGATCAATAAGATGGGTGAGTTGTACAAAAGGTACTTGTTGTTTCTTTACAAACAAAATTTTGGGTTTGATAAGGTTTAGAATTTTGATTCTGAATCATATGAATTTTAGGGTTGTCAAGGTGTGGGTTTTAGTATTTATAGGGTGTAAGATATGGAATATGTGATTGTTTAGATTAAAGGTTTACAGAAGGATTAAGGTTATTAAGAAGTGTCTATTTAAGCATATCTATTTTTTAATTATAAAATAATTTTGAATAATGAAGAAATACTTCTATATCTAGATGAAAATTTATTTTAAAAAAAATCTTTACATACTATCACATGTTCATATATTAGTATATATCTAGATGAAAATTTATTTTAAAAAAAATCTTTACATACTATCACATGTTCATATATTAGTATATATCTATGTTCCACTTATTACTTGTACTACAAGTTGTGTGTAATATTATCTTTTGCTCAATATTAAACCTCTGTAAAGATTTTGGATAATTAGTTGTTGATTGAATTAGTATTTGTATTGAGTTATACATATAAGTGATGATGAAAGAATTAGAAATGTTTTATGAACTTAAATCATATATTAGAAATTTCATAATTTTTTTTAAAAAACTGCAAGGTGTAAAGATAATAACAAAAACTAAATCAAGTTGTTTGTACTATTATATAGAATTTTAATTTAAATCAATCTCAAATAATATCTAAATATGTCAAATCCAACTTGTCTTTTATTGTTTAAGTTGCTTATAATTTATCCTAAAAAGGGCAATAAACTTGGTATTTAAAAATTTACTACCAATTTTAATCATAATTAGAATTTACTCTTTTATTCTTTTATAATGTCAAACTTTGACAACAAACTAAAAAAATCAAAAAATCAAATATTTAATAACCTTGAATTTCTATTGATAATTATTGTTTGGTAGAATGATTAAAGTGGTAATATATGTACCTATAAAATATTTGATTTTTTTCATATATTCAAATAAAAGAAAAAATAGGTTCTCATATTAAAAATTTATAATATATAAGAGTATTAAGGATAGCTTATATATTGTTTGTTTTTGTTTAGATTTTTTTTTTTTTAATAAATTACTTAAAGATATGCACATACTATTTTGACAATTCTTAGAAAATTTATTTAAAGAAGAAATGCCAAAAAATTGTAGAATTTATGAAATTATTATAAGACATACAATGAAAACATGTTTGCAAAAGTTAATATACAAATGTAAGTCTAGAAAGATAAAAATTTGGTACTAGAATAAACAATATTATATTTTCTCTAGCACAATGGTGATGAATCTTTATCATACTTAAGAAGTTAAGGGTTTTATTTCTATAAGAATTTATATAGTAAAAATCCTGCATATTAAGGACTTAAATCAAAATATTATTCTGAAAATGACAATATACTTTTATATTACTAATAGAGAGAAATTATACAACTGAAATATAGATATAAAATTAAAGTTAGAATGACCATTGCCAAATACAATAAGACTTTGATGTCTTAAACTAAGATAGAATACAAGAAAAATATTGATAAGAGTGATGAAGGTCTTACTCTTGCTTCTACATATACCATCTACTAAAGAATTATGTAGTGATATTTTATAGGCCATATAACACATGCCCAACTTGTGCAACATGTATCTAGTTTATAAGGCAAGTTTCTAACATATATGCCACATAGCCAACTTATAATAAAAGTAGCCAAATGTATGACATGTGGCCAATTTATTAGCCAAGTTGTCAATCTATCAATAATTTATAAGCACATGTAAATTCTATGAAGCTGCTATGAAGCTTTTTAATAAGATATCAAGAATTTTATCTATTTCTACTTACTTCTACATAGTTTTATTTATTTAAGTAAATATATTAATAAATTTAGCTATCTATTTTATTATCTCCCTTTTTAAGCAATAAATTCTAAAATGGATATTATTATTGCTTCATAAGTTCATAAAATCTAAGATCCTCAAATATTTCATGACAATATGTGATTTGAATTGTCAATAAGCCTATTAGAGCATATTTTTGTTAAGATTTGTATTCAATATCACTTATCAACCAAAAAAATAACAAAATTTGTTAGATGTCCTTTTGAGATATTTTTATCTTGTACCAAAAGAATAAGATGCAACTTTTGATCAATAATATATATATATATATATATATATATATATATATTAAAACTAGAGCAATTTCATCTTTGAGCAATTAAATCAACATTGGCTATTGAAACAATCTTTCTTGACCAAGTCCAATCAAATATGCCTTCAAATTCTCTTGTACATGATATTAAGAATAATTCTTCTAAAATTCATGATACTTCCAAGTTTGAATTCAAGAACAATCTACTCTATTTTGAGAGATGCTTATATATTCTAAAAGGTGGAGTATGATTACGAACTCTTTAAGCTTGCCATAACTTTCCAACTATAAGATATTTTAGATATAATAAGATATTGGAATTAATCTCAAGAGATTATTGGTGGTATCAAATGTAGAATGCAATTAAAAATATTGCACAATCATATAATATTTATTCAAGTTTAAAAACTCCTTATCATCAACCTTATAGACTTTTTCAACCATTGCTTTATACCAAAATAACTATGGTCTTTTATTTCTATAGATTTTATCACAAATTATTCAATTTCAAGTTCTTATGATTCTATATTTATGGTAGTAGATTTTTTTACCAATGTAGTATATTTTATATCATGTAAAAGAATAATAAGACTTTTTTTAATAATATTTATTGCTACCATGGATTGCTAAGGGATATTATAAATGATAGATGGATTTAATTTGTATTTAAGTTTTGACTAACATTTTTCAAGATATTGAAGGTAGATATAAGATTATCTTTGGCTTTTCATCTTCAAACTGATGGACAAACAAAATAGATAAATCAAGTATTAGAATAGTATTTAAAATGCACAATCTATTATCATTAAGATGATTAGATAAATCTTTGCTCTTAGCAAAATTTGCATATAATAGTATAAGATATTCTTCTATGAAGCTTACTAATAAGATATTAAGAATTTAACCTACTTCTACTTAATTCTACTTATCTAAGTAAATAAATTAATGATTATGAATATTTATTAGAATGTATATCTATTAGCTTATTAAAATTTTGAAATGTAAGTTATTTTTTTAAATATAGTAATTATTCAATAATTATTAACAACATGAATTATAAAAAATCAACATATCAATACACTCTTGTATCATTTGAAGAAAGTAGATATTCATTTAAAAATAGTATATTATTTAAACTAGAATAGCTATTGCCAAAGATTCAAAAACTAGAGACTTTTGTTCTTAGTCTTGTTTCAAAAGTTGTCTTCTTCACTCTTATTTCTATAAATATATATATATATATATATATATATAATTTAACTATGAGCTATGTATTTAAAATATATATATATATATATATATATATATATATAATTTAACTATGAGCTATGTGTCAATATTTGATAGGACGTCCAACACATGTTCAACTTGTAAAATACATGTCTAACTTGTAAGGCAAGTTTTCTATATGTATGCCACATAGTCAACTTATACCATAAGTTGCTAACATGTCCAATATGTGACCAAATTGTTGGCTAAGTTTTTAACCTATCAATCACTTGTAAACAAGTAAAAAAATCAAATCTGCTTCTATAAAACTTCTAAGAAAATTTTCCACAAATTATTATCAAATTTATTCACATTTAATAACTTCTACCTAACTATTCTTATCTAAGTAATTATTAGTGTTCGTTATATCTATAACAATGATATATAATATAATACTAACTTTTGAAGTAAAAATTGTTTTTTTTTGCAATTGTGAGTTTTTTTACAAAGAAGAAGTTTTAAATTAAAGATTTCTAAGGATAAGGATAATAAAAGAGAGAAGGATAGAAAATGAAGTTGATAATTTTTTAAAAATATTTATTATTTCTTATAGGCTTACTATAAAGGTAAGTACATTGATGCCTGAATAAATGTATTGTCTTTTTGGATATATGCTTGTAGACATAGAAAAGAAAAAAGAAAAAGAAAATATAAATATAAATGAATATTATATTTATATGTTTTAAATATTATATTTATTTTAAATAAATAATTTAATATTCAAATAATTAAAATTTATGCTATATGATATATAATTTTTTAAATAAAATTTTTATTTGATTTTTTTAAAATTTTTTATAAAGTATTTTCTTATATATTGTCTGGCTGACAACCGCAGCGAGTGGATACGCTCCGTTGTCCATGTCAGCACTCTGCAGCCGATGAGTACATCCACGTGGAATCCCGGGCTGTGGCTCGATTGAGGCCTCTCCTTGAACCCCAGGGCCCTCAGCAGCGCCGCCTCTCGACGACCCCGATTCCTTCCGACCAGCATCCAAAGGCCCTCCATCCCAGACGTGGGCTGCCTTCAATCCGTGCTACTCTTCGTCGTCATGGAGCCTGCAGATTCGACGCGTTGCTCTGGGAATTGGGTCCCAGGAAATTCGCTTCAATTCGTCACCAAGTCTCAGGAGCTGAAAACTGCAGTAGAGGATGTGGGCTTGGGTATTGTAAGAGGTGCGTGTGAAGAATGGCACAATTCAGCTCGCAATCGACGTGTGAAAGTTGAGATTAGAGAGCAATTGGGAGTTGTTGAAGGAGGTTTTGAGG